AAATGAAAATATAATTAATATTGTTAAAATACTTCCAATGACATTTTGTTTCCTTCAAAAAACTGAACCGAAGAGAAGGTTAATGTGTGTGTCTATATATATATATATATATATAATACAAACATTTTACCTACCATACCAAATATATAATTCCTATTGTACAGATATCTCATATATTTATTACTGCAATATTAAATTTCTTTTAAAAATAAATTATTGAGTAAAAAATATAAATTTTAAAAAATTTGTACCAAATGTATGAATGTTATGAATGACTAATTAATTACCATAAATAGTTATGAAATCACAGAAATATATAATTACTATTCTGATGTGCCGATGACATTTACGTTTTACGTTTTCTGCAAAATGAAATATATATTAATTCTCATAATTTATTTCAGATGTTGGATAGTGTATTCCAAGTCATTTTAAAAACTATTTCATAACATTGTCCAAAATAACAAAATCTAAAATTAACATAAGGACTAATGTAAACAATATTTAAAATTTTATATGAGCTATTAAACGAATTATAAATACGAATAATATATATATATATATATATATATATAAACAAAAAAAAAGTTAATAAATATCTAATTGAAAATAAACACTAATATTTAGCCTAAATTATAACTATATATCTTGTAAAATAAAAAAAAACGGATAATAAGAAGCATATAATTATTAATATATTGGGAAAAATCACAAAATTTCAATGTAAATATCTATCAATAATTTAATTGAAAATAAGCTGAAAATTAATACAAAATCTCTGAAATCGATATACTAAATAAACATAGAACAATGATGATCAATATGATCGAGACAAGCTTCAATTATTAAGTTCCTCACATGTGACTAAACAGAAATAATTACATTGTATTTAAGAGATGTGAATATAATACACAAACGATTTTTTCATCCCTTAGACTATTATTTAGTTAAAAGACGAAAGTGAATGGAAATCAGCAGTGGTAAGTAAGAATATATATTAAATATTCTTTATATACTTGGACTTAGATTTTAGCGATCAAATTTTAAAAAACTTATTTAAAAAATTCTACTTATCGAACTTTGTTTACGACAGAATTAATAAATTTATTGAAAGAAATTTTAAAGCATATTCAATACTATTTCAATTACTAGCATTTTCGTCGATAAAGAAATTGAAGAAATTTTAATTTAATGCGATGAGTGTATTTTACATTTCATGTAATATAATTATAAAATAAAAGATTTAAAAATTATACTAAATAGAAAATAGACGAATTGATTGAAAAATTATTTATTAAATACGTTTAAATTCATTTTATGTGATTTTAAATTAAATATGATTATAAATTTGTTATCATTGTATTAATGTCCTCTTCATATGTAATATTCAATATTTAATTATAGTTTTGTTTTTGTTATAGTCTCAAATCATTTTTTAAAAAACTATTTCATAACGTTAGCAGTATCGTTTATGTTTATGAATTATTTGAAAAATTTTCCTAAATTTTAATCATAAACTTCAAATTCCATTTTTAAATTCATTTAGAGTCAATTAACTATTTCATCAAACTACTACTTTTGTGGGCGTTATTTTATTTGTTCAGATACTGAAAAATAAATCTTTTATAATGATATTATATGTATTAGACTAAACGATTAGAGATAACTTTATTTTTATAGTACGCAAGTGGTGAAAATCAGAAAATATCTTTATTATAATTTTAAAAGTTTTGTGTTTGTAAAAATTGAAATTTATAGTTATAACCGTATAATTTATTTTAATATAGCTAAAAAAATATTAAATTAAGCAAATTAAAAAAACAAATTATGTGAAATTAAAGTATCTTTAATAATATTCAAAAATACATTTAATTCAATGAAATTATTTATCGAATAAATAATTATTCTGTTAGACTCTTATAACATTTATTAACTTGCATGTCCAAAATGTTTAAACATTTTTTTATATAAATTAAAATTTTATATATATTATACTACTATAAAATATATATATACACGATTAGATTTAATTACTTTTACTATACATCAATTATTGTTAATTAATGTTATATAATTTAGGTTATATAATTTCCTAAAAAAATATATGAAATATTAAAAAAGCTAATGTGGAGAAAATTAATTTTAGTATTCAATTTTATATGTTACTAAATATAGATTATTCTATTTGAACTAGAACTTGATGCATCATGCTTAAATATGTTTTAGATCTCAAAATAATTTCAGATTTAGAGATGAATAAAAATAGTGATTATATTTTTAAATCGTATGTGACATCATAACCACTCGTACAATGATCAATGAATACAAATAATAAAATTATATAAACTTACCAGTTTTAGAGTATTATAAATTTTTATACAAGTGCCAATAATGACACAACTAGGTGAATTAAATATAGAGGAAAGTAGAACTTGTAAATCAAAAGTGATAAATTACAGAAAAGTTAGATATTGTTTATAACGGTTAGAAGGAAAATATTTTCAAATATTTTACTAATACTACGTACCTTACATTGCATAAACAATATAATCTAAAATTAAGAAACTTTGAAATTTGGGATAGTATTTAAAACTTAACCATAATACTTATTTCATATACTATATAATACGGGCTTAATAATCATTAAATAAGTAGATATTAATATTTCATAATTTTCGTTTAATTTTTTAGTAAGTGAACGTAATTATTTTTAAATTATCTCTAAAATATTTTTAAAAAAATTATTTTAAATTAACTTTAATCATTATTTAAATGTTATCTTATCTCTTACTAATATCTCATTCATAATTAATATATCAATAAACGTTTAAATTATAAAATTTTAATAGTTAATTGTTCAAATTATTCTTTATATAATTGTTAATCAGTTTTATATTATAGAGTATTTTAAATGACTAGAAAAATATACACATTATATTATATTATGACCTTTACTGCTTCTTGTAACTTTGCTACAAACGTATAATAATGTAATAATATCAATTTACATATATCGATCATTGTCTATTTTGTTAACGTACCAGATAATATATAGCATAGTTTAACAATAGCATTTAGTCATAATTATATGGTTGATTGCATATAATGTTACAAGTTCACTTTAAGTTTTTCATTATAAAGTCTAATATGCCTACTCCGTATATTAAATGTTTAATTTTCCCTCTATTTTTTTCATGTAGAATATAACCTTTTATATGTAGAATATAACTTTTTCCGATTCAACAGTATTTAACATTCACAATTTAATTAAATAAAAATTTTATAAAAAAAAGAAAGTATTATATACAATTTACATTAAATCATATAGCAAAAATATTTATAATTCAATTCTTATTAATCAAGCTACTTTAGTAATTATATTGGTATCTTGGCTCATATAATATTAAAAAAACAATATATTTTAGTAATAAATGAGTACTATTAAAATCATAAAATTGTTTGAACTTTTAACAATGTTAGGAAATATTCTACAAAATAAATAATATTTTTAAGTAAGCTTGCTTATCTTAGATAACACAATTTTCATAAATATCATAACTATAATGGCTACGTTAGATAATGAAATTGAAAGTTTTAAATACTCTGCCACAATATAAAAAACTTTATTAACTTTCCATAGGCTTCTGAAAAATATTCTATGGTCTTCTATTTTATCCCATAATAGGTACATTATCAAAAAAAAAAAAAAAAAAATCACATCCCTATAGTACAACTACAAACGGAATTCATCATCTAAGCGCGCAAAATTAAATATAACATTGAGCACTATTAACCTCAAGTGTAATTGTAAAATTTAATCTGTATAATCAAAGAAACCCGCGCACATCTATGTAAACATCGGCAATATTATTTGAAATTAATTATTAAGAAAGAATCATTATGAAAGCCGAGGAAGTTGAACGAATCATACCATTAAAGATACTTATACGTGTGATTAAATGCTAAGCCAACATCATTGAATCGGTAGGATTTAGGATTGGTAGGCAAAGTACCGAGTATCATCTACGAATTGACCTTAGCTTCTAATCTGTTTTTTTTTTTTTTCATCATCCGTATAATCCAAATTACTTTCTTTCGTTCCTTTCGTATACGTTTTACTCGCACTTAGTACAACGATCGCTTTAACGCGCGGGCCAGGTGAATAAATTTGTTAAAATAGATCATTTTACTTCGTCCTTTTATGTTTTGGTAATCATAATTTCACTCCATTCCTATTTGACAATAAATAATATTCGCTCTCTTGAGCAATGCATGAATTTTATTGTCCTGCTTATTTACCAATCCTTAACCAAACCTCCAAGGAGTGCTTATCATAAAAACTATATTTCAATTTAATTGAATGACTTGGCGATTAACGTAGAAAATACCGTAAAATATAATGATAAATTTCTCATTTCGTTCTAAAATTAAAATCACTTTGTCGGTTACATCGGAGAATGTCGTGTTAAAAATAACTGCGTACTTCTTCCAATGCTTTTATAAAATCAGATCTTTTATAAGATATATGCATTTCACAATAAAACTTATTGCATTGCTTAATAATCACATCGAATAATATAAACAAAATTGTAATACTGGAAAATACAACAACAACGAGTCGTGAGTAAGTATGAAAAAATAAATGATTAAAAACCAAATGCTTGATCATTTATTTTCTTAAAGAAGCAGCTGCATATATGCTGATAAGTTCGATCACGGTGGATACAGCAACCGCACACGATTTCAATACCGAATCATCATGTATTCGAAAATAAATAAAGGGACCTTGAGCTCACCCCTAAAGCTCCAATACGTTTAAAAGTGCACCCCCGCGACGACGTTATCCCATACCACGAGACCGTAAATTCTCGCTAAATAAGAACGAAAATAAAAACAAAAACTTATGATGAATGTAGGCTAAGGTGCATCGTAGGCTCGTCTGTCGACAGAGCACGCAGTATCGAAAGAGGAGCAGAGGATAAAATCACTATCACTTGCCAAGATCTATAAATGCCCGAGAGGCGTCGCCGCGCAATTTAGCCTCGTGCTAAGTCAATACCATGTCAGCCACGGCTAAGCTGTCACTGTTCCTCGCCGTGCTTCTGCCCCTCACGTGGACAACGACGCTGCCGACGGGTACATCGGCAGCGGCCACGTCCACGGCGTTTAAAGTACAGGAATCCTATGAGACCACGACGGGCCCATCCTCCACGTCCAAGACGGACGAGGACGACTGGCGGGACAACACTCTCATCTACCAAATTTTGCCCAAGTCCTTTCAGGATAGCAACGGCGATGGACTGGGTGATCTTCAAGGTGAGATAAGACATTAGGCAGCCCGACGATCGCTAATTTTATTTAGAAAACGAGTGATTACGGATTAGTTATGAAAATATTATTCGTAAATAACGATGGCTTTACCGAGGAGTGTTTCGCTTCGTTCAAGTCACGCGCCATTTTACTAAAACTGTCTTACAAAAATGTGCATTATATCCTCAATCTTGTATTATTTTATTAATTGTAAAAATTCATCTCTTCAAATAAAAATCGACCAACAAATTATGTTTAATACTGTAACGGTAACATACAATAACCCAACTGCCTTTTTCACAAACTAAACAAGAATTAATTATCAATATTATAATACTACAATGAAAAATATTCTATGCAATACTTTATAGTTTAATTTTCTTTATTTATTATCCGTGCTCCGTCTCACCGACAAAAATCACCCTTCAAAAGAATAATTTAGAAAATTGGGCGTATAAAAATTACAATCTGCATGATTACTATCAATTTAAATAAATGAATGCTCTACTAAATAATGATATATATTTATATATTCCATGGCGTGGATTAATCTAATTAATCTTAATAACTCCATTGGATTACGTATTACTTATTATTAATATTAAATTTCTAGAATTATCTAATGTGTAAAATTCCCTTTTCTTTTAGCATTATAAAACAAAGCGCTTAAAAAATTACATACAATATTATTATAAAATAAAAATATACACGATAATGTTAAAGCTTTTCATTTAGAGGCTAAGTTTTTCTATTTTATTCGTTAAAAATTTTACTTAAATCAAGCGTTTTCTCGTCACTAGCCTATAACTATTATTGCTGAATTTACATATCATCGTAATTCCTTATTAAATCATTAACAATATTATAATTATCTCGACTAATATGTGAAATAAATAAATATCATTTTTGTAATTTATCATATATAATACGTATATAATGCATATGAAATAAATAAGACAAATTAAATAAATAAAAGATATAATATAGAATTTTACTAGAAGTATATAAAACATTATCTACATTTTTTCAAACTGAATTAAAATATTCAGTATAGAATTAATTAATAATAACAAAATAAACTAATTTTAATGTATAATTCCTCACCATTTGAAATGTATGTAAATATTTATTTTATCAACACATGCTTTTGCATCGAAACAAATACATATTAATCTACAAAGATCTATCTTTTCAAATTACAACTATATAAGAAATAATATCACTAGTATAAATTATTAATAATATAATACGTATCATCAACTTAGTGAATTGAAAATAATTTATAAATAGTCATTATTTCTTCATGTTGTCACAATAATTTATATTTATAATCCATTAGAAAAACATTTTCAAACATAGAATATATTGCATTTTAAAAAATAATAATTATTATTTATATCGAAAGGAATTTCATTAGATTTTTAAATATAAAATATCAATTTAGATTCTAAATTATTTTTCTATATATATAAATAACCTTCACAAGAAACTATTTTCATACATAATACTAGTTAGAGATTAAATTAGTTTACTATTCAATAATTTTTTAAATTAACATTTTCTATGACAATAGTAATTAAATCATAATAGTACTCAAACTAAAATTTTTATTTTAAATTAGGTATTATTAGTCGTCTAGATTACCTTGTTGATCTTGGCGTCGACACCATCAGATTAAGTTTCATATATTCTTCCTCACAAGTGGGCTTAGGACATCATATCTTAAACCATACTGACATAGATCCTATTTATGGAGATTTTACTGATTTTTACGAGCTAATAAATAAAGCGCATGATAAAGGTAATATATGCATATGTGTATACACTGTGCACGCACTCGCGCGCGCGCACACACACACACACACACACATATATATTTATAATGACATTGAATGAAAAGACTTGCTTCTTACTTGCTAGATTTAAAAGTTATTTTGGATATTATTCCGAATCATTCTAGTGACCAACATAAATGGTTCCTAGCTTCAGTTAATGATAGAAGTCCGTATGACGATTATTATATTTGGGCTGATGGAAAAATTAAAAACAATAAAATAGTTCCACCTAATAATTTGGTAAATAAAATTTTATTACTAGCTAATTTTTAATAGTAATTAATCCATTAATTATACCATAAATATTATGCATTTTTAAATAGAAAAGTACTTATGATGATGCTGATGGATCAGCATGGACGTGGAATATGAAAAAAAGGCAGTGGTATTATCATAAATTTCACTACACTGAACCAGACTTAAATTTGCGCAATCAGGATGTTGTTGCAGAAATCTTGGTATAAACATACACAGATAATAAGAAATATATTTTCCATGAACAATCAATAATAATCTATAATTGCTTTAAATAATAATTTGCACCTTATCCTCTATCACATAAATACTTTACATAATTTTTTATTATTGTTTTTTTAATATTCAATATTTAAATTAAATACTGTTTACGTGAAATATATTATTTTTTTACCCTTTTAATTCCCAAATATAAAATTTGTATTTATCACTTTATATGAATGATCGTTAAAATCAATTTTTTAATTTGCAGAATATATTTGATTTTTGGTTAGAAAAAGGAGTTGATGGATTTTGCATTTGTGGAATATCGTATCTTTCTGAAGACAAATATTTGCTTGATAAATTGTTAGAAGAAAATTTGAAGCAGAGAGTCTCTAATTATGATTATGACGATGACGATGACGATGACGATGATGACGATGACGACGATGAGGATGGATTTTCAATGAATGTATTGGATAAGGCTTCTTTACTAAATGAATTTCGTGAACATATCGATAAATGGGTCGAAGCAAATAATAATAATAAGTCAATGTATGTTTATAAAAAATCATAATATTTTGCAAAAATTCTCTATTAATTACTATCGTTTATAAATTGTTAGATTATTAATTGGAGAAATAAATGAAAGTGATGATAAAATATCATCTTACTATGGAGCTGATCCTACATTTAGTCTAATAAATTTATCACTTGTAACACAATTAAATAATGTTAGTAATGCTCAAGATATTAAAAACTTAATCAATCAAAGCTTGACATATTTGCCAAATGGGGCTACAACTAATTGGATGGTATGTTGTAAGCATTTATATATAACACTTGTAAATCCCTATCAATTGTGCTATAGAAAGTTAAATATTTATTCTATAAAGAAATTCTGCATCCAAAATTGAAAAAAATTCCGTATAAACATCATATGTTGTGTACATTTATTGTAATGTTGAATTAATTGAGCGTATATTTAGTATTATGTTTAAAAATTACGAAAATAATGTCATAATATAAATAAAAAAGTATTGATATTTCTAAACGATAATTTCTAAGTAATTTTGAACTTACATTTTGAAATTTGATTTACATAAATTCTGATAATACTACACAGCTTTCAAATCAAGATTACTCGAGAGCTGCATCAAGACTGAATCCAGATCTATTAGATGGTCTGTACATGATTACATTGTTACTGCCTGGTCAAGCCAGTACATATTATGGTGAAGAAATTGGAATGTTAGATGGAAATATATCAGTTATTTATACAATTAATACAAATACGAGTAAACAAAAAGGGAGAAAATATTTCACTTCTATTAGAGATAATGTTAGAACACCAATGCAATGGGATAATACAACATCGGCTGGATTTTCAACAAATAAATATACATTCCTTCCAGTCAATTCTAATTATAAAAGGATAAATGTAAATGAACAATTACGAGACGCAGATAGCAATTTAGAAGCTTATAAAAAATTAGCAATTCTAAGAAAAAATCCAATATTTACCGATGGAGATTATGAACTTGAAGCAATAAATAACGATAAGATTTTTATTTTAAAAAGGCAAGTATTATTAATATATTTAAACATATAAACAATCCACTCTTATTTTATGCTGTTTATTTACTTTTATCTACTTTATGTAAATTTAGATCTTTAGGTAACGATACTTGCATTGCAATTATTAACTTTGGATCATCAAAAGAGACGGTGAATTTGACAGCTTTATACCCGAACTTGGAAGAAGATCTACAAGTTATGGTAGATTCAAGCAACGCGAATGTAGAAAAGTAAGAAAACGTTATTGTTTAAATATTTTAATACAAATACAATATTTTCGTACGTTATGAAAAATATCATTGCCATATGTGATTATTATTCTTAAATAATCATTTATACTCTGCATTAATATCACATGATAAATATTTATTTTCTTTTAGAGAAAATGATGAAGATGGTGATGATGATATAGAAAACGATGCGTTTGTATTGGCTGCCAATGCTGCAGCGGTACTTTGTGATAAAGATGATTTTAAAGAATTTCCATTTGAAACGACAACGGATGGTAAATTTTAATCTTATGCTTCCTTATATTGATTGTTTAACATAAATATTAAATATTTTTAACTTTTTCTTTATTACAAAGATGATACACCAACTGATGATGATCCTGATGATGATGATGATGATGATGATGATGATGATAATGATAATGATAATGATAGTGCTGATAATGATAATGATAATGCTGATAATGATAACGATAGTGCTGATAAGGATAATGATGATAAGGATAACGATGATAAGGTTGATGATGACAAGAGCAAGGACAGTGATAAAAACGATGACGACGAGAAGGATGACGATGAAAAGAAAACGACAACTTCATCATCTTCTGAACATGATTCCAACACAGAACTTTCTACCGAAAGTTCAACAAATACTAGACAAGCATTGTTATTTATAATATTAATTCATCTCGTATTAGTATTATTTCTGTGAGAATTATAAAAATCTATTTACTAAAATTTGTATAAAATGTCTCTTATTTCAAGTATCATTTTATTAAGGACGTTTTTTAAAACTGTTTTTTGCTTCAAACATTATTGCACAATACTTTAAAATAAAAATAGTAAAACTAGATTTTTAGTACATTTTAGTTCCTCTTGTATTTTGAATTTAATTTTAAATTATGAATGATATATTTTAATACGATATTAGTTGTGATTATATATATATATATATGTGTGTGTGGGGGTGGGGTGGGGTCGTTTATTTATACATACGTTTTTATGTGTATGCATATATATAAATATATGGATCTCTAATGATATTTTGCCTATAAATTTACATAATTTTTTTACTAAAAATAAACGAAAAATAGACTAAGATTTTACATTAGATATAAATATATGTTTTAACTATCTTTCTTCAACAATATTCAACAATATTTACTATATTTTCTACAGAAAAGTAATAATTATTTATTATCATTATATGTACATTGGAAAAATATTTTACATACATTTACAGACGTGTGTATTATCGTATAAACACTGGCATACGTATTAAATTTATTTTTAAGTAAATATTTACAAAAAATATATATTCTTAAGTTTATTTGCAACAAGCTTAAATATCTTTAAAATATCTTTATTATACATTTATCTTAGCTGCACACATTTTGTAAATTGTAAATAAAATATAACTACGATTTTAAAGTGAATGTATAAAAAAAAAAGATAAATATAGATTGGAAACATTGATAGTTGTCGTTATGAGATATTACATATATATATATTTAAGAGAAAAATTATTATCTTATTTAAACACTCACTGCTTGTCTTACTAGTAGCATCGCTCACGAAGAGAAAACATTGCATACAATTTTGCGAGAACTAAAACGGGTATTAACAACCTTTTACCAATGAAAGACACTATGCCAAAAGGTACTTACTTCTTGTTTACTTTCGATATATAATATTGATCGGTCGTATGTAAGTCCGCAACACTTAATAGTCAGTCAGTCTGTTAATTCTGAAGAAAGGAGAACATCAACATCGGTAAGCAGGTGCCTCGGGAATGTGAAAAAATGGTGTCAAAAGAAACTGCTTATCTCCTTGCAAATCCTCCTACATACAAGTTCGTAGGAATAAAATGTCCCGAACAGAAGTACACCATTCAAGGTACAGCATAGCTTTATTATTGTAATTCATTAATTTGAATTCTTTGCTGTATTTTCTTTATCTATACGTCGTAACTATATGCACACTAATTGTTATTCAATTATAGCAATAAGTTACAATTGCTAGGTCATATAAATATTAGCAAAAAATTTAATAATTCGTTGAAAAAAAAAAAATATATATATATATATATATATAAACTAATTTTATTACATAAAAATTAAATATACATTACAAACATTTGTAAATAATATTTTTTTAATAAATCGTTATAATATACTGAATCTGAATAAATCAATACAATTTAGTATTCCAAATTAATATGTACGTATCGAAATGCAAATTTATGTATTCGTTAATAACAAATATTGAATTTACTTTTTCTAGAACTAACCAAAGAAGATTTAGCGTATTATACTGCGAACCCTTTATGGATTAAAGTACGGCTGTGTTTATTTTGGTGTTTTTGGATCGCTTTCATTCTAGTTTTAATTGTATCAATATTTATGTACTGCTGTATGCTCCCTTCAACGTGCTAAAAGAACTTGTTTGTCACAAAACAATGGTATAGTGTTTGAAAATAATTCTAAAATTTTAAATTATGAAAACAACGAATATATTAAGTTGTGCATGTAAGTGACAAGACTGATAAATAGATAATCGATAAATATCATTTCAGGAATTTCTCTGAAGATGATGATAATGCAAAGACTGATATGAAAGAAAGCGTATAATACTATTAAATGAGTAAACTGTTTTAAGAATTAAACGTGAAAGAAATTTTAAGATGAATTTTATATATTTGAACAAGATCATTATGTTTTATGTCTTAATGTATTTATTTAAAATGCGAATAATTGTAAATACTAAATCCAATATATATATATATTATTTTTATATTTCGATCAATTAATGGTCAACAATTTTATAGCTTAACTATGTATTTAAATTTTAAACATAATCACAAATTAAGTTATTTTGTTTTAAGTACTGAGTTGTCTAATGAAGTTAATTTTTAATTTACGAACGTTAAATAAAAAACTGAAATAAAATTTTTAAGTTGTATAATTTTTTTAGGACACCTTACTTAAATAAATAATAAGTAATTATGTATTTTCAAGAAAAAATATACTATAAATACTCATAAAAGATAACAAATTAGTCTCGTTATTTGTAAATACAATTCTAACATTTTTAACAATATAGCCTATTTTTATACTCATAATAAAATCAAATGTGAAAAAAAAAACTATGATATACATTATATAAATCATATTATTGCAATGAAAAATATAAAGAAACATAATTAATAATAGGGATAGGGTAGGGTAGCCTTCAACTAAAAAATATAGCGGTCAATCTATCAACCTACACAGTTTTATTATCATTACAACAAACGTTTAACACGTTATTATTAAAATACGTCTAAAAAATTATCTATAAAACTTGTTTTATAAGATATATTTTTAATAGACAGAGTAATTAAACAATATTCATTAAATTTTTATTATTGACATTATTATCAACATTTCAGATGACGGGTTTCTGACACTGTCAAATGGTCAAAATAATAAATATAAATAAAATATTATTGTATAAAATATAGTAATGCAATAACTATCTTATATATTTCTTTTTTAATATAGTATTCTTATAATATATTATTGATTATGTCATTTGAAAAATTAATACTTTTATTAGAAATCTTAAAATGAATGAAAAAAATCAATCAACTCCTAGCATACCATGTAAAACAATAGATTACTACGATATTATATTATACACTTATTACAATATTATATTACAAAATAAACCATTGTAAATATATATAGAAAATAAGATTGATTTAAACTTTAAAATATTCCATGGAAATTAATGTCAAATGAATATCACGAAATATAGTCAGTATTGCATATATTCATTAATGAGCTTTTTAAATTTTATGTTAATACAAAAAAATTAATTTGGTATTACTTAACTTATAAACTATATAAGATATAAGTCTAAATGATCATTATATTTATTCTCTTGGAAGAAAAGACTTTTTATCTATTCTCGATTAGCACCATTAATAATTCATTTAAAAACTGAACGAATATGAAAGTGTTAGAGCTTTTTGTAATAAATCACTCATTAACGCGAACAAATATAGCTAAAAAAATTAAGTAGAACTTGTCAAAGTAAAATTTATTGTTACAAATAATTTTTTTAATCCGTTTAAAATAATTCTTATATATCGTAAGTAGTGTCACCTTATTTTCTTAATGCAAGATAAATAAAAGATATTACAGAAATAATATCGAATCAAAATATATTTTAAATTATAAAAATATTTTAATTTTTCTTTATAAGTCAACGAAAAAAATGTACAAAATGATTATTATCACAAATATAATAAACTTGTAATTTATAATATAATTTATAACTTGTAATAATCGTTTTATTTAATGAAAGCTGATTATTATTTTTTATTTTATTATTATAACAATCAATAATGATATTATATACAATATAATATTTTAATATAAATGTATTTTGCTATTTATATCAAAATTATCTGAAAATTTGTTAGTATTATATTTGAGGGGAATTTATAAAATTTTCTGTCACTCTTGATTTGTATCTTATAAAATATATACGTACGGCTCGGATTATATTTTTACAAAATTAATTCATCAGCGCCCGTTACAGTGTAAAACATTTTTTAATGAAAGATATGAAAGAAAATAATCTTCATTATAATAATGTCATGTCATCATTTTTGTTTACATATTTTCATTTCAAATGATAGGTCCAAAATAATTAAAATTAAAACGTAAATGAAATTAAATATTCTGATTGTTAATCTAAAAATATTGATAAATACATTTAGAAGAACGTTTTACAGAATTATATGGCATTTAATATATTATTTACTTATTTTTAAAAACTTTTGATAATATATTCAATAATGTTTCCATTCTATTTAAAAATCACAGTATTGTTAAAATCGTAAAAAATTTATTGGGAATTAATTTCGAAAATATATGACTTGCAGTTATATTCTCATTAAATGAATTTATTATAATTTTATAACAAAAGTTAACAAGAATTAATAATATGTATAATATAATAAACATTTATTAAAACTAAAATTTACTTAATAAGATATTTATTTCGTAATTAAAGTTCATAATTATAATTGAAAGGTTCTATAGCTAATATGAATTTGAAATGGTATATTAATAACTTTTTGTTAAATATTAAAATACTTGTTAAACAATTGAATATAAACTTTTCCTAAATTGTTGTAAAGACTATATTGTATTTCTACAAATTGCTCTTTTATCGATTATTTGATAATATATTATTGAATATTAAAATATTTATATAAAATGATAAAGTCAGAAATTCATGATCGTAATATAACCAAGAACCATTAAAAAAATAACTAAATTTATAACGATGAAGAATATAATAATAATTATATTCTTATATAGTATATAAGAATAAGCGTATAATGATTAATATATATATTAAATATGTAATAAATAGAGAAAAAAATTGTAATTTTTTTCTGGGAATGAATAAAAATTGATCAAATCATACTCTAAATTGCCTTTAAAAGCTTTTATGGGGATGAAAAAATGAAGGCAATATAATGTAATTTAATTTTTTTTTACTAAAAATTTGAAAATAATAAATTTACTACTATTTAAATTTCAACTCATTTAATGTATTTGGACAAGTTGAAAATGCATTAAATTAATTTAATGTATGTAAATGCAATATTGCCATTAATTTTGGATAAAATCTTTGATTTATTATTATACCACTTTACATATTTACAAATGTTGTATTATATATTGATATTTTTGTCTTTCTACAAAAGAAAATTCGTGAAAGTAATAAGTAATTTAATCTAAATTAATGTTAACACAATTTGCATTTGCTTTACTTAATGTAATAATAATTTAAACGTGTGTTGGTTGGTGCCATCTTAACTTACCAGCAACAAAGAACACAGTTTACAATATTTTGTAAACAATAATTATTGTTACCAACATTGGCTTCAATACAGTCGATGTAAGAATTATCCATTTCAAAAAGGATGAAAAAATAGATGAAGAAATTGAAGTTGCCCATTCCTAAGTATGTTAATCCAAAGAAACCAACTCTACAAACGGCAAATAAATGAGAATAAAAAGTCGTATATGTCTAACTATTGTCGAAACTATTAAACAATTGTTTATTCAATTGATAAACTGTTACTATAATAAACTCAAAGCCAACCAATTTTCCATATAAAATCGTTATACATTCAAATTGCGCATGCTCGTTTTCCGCTCCAATGAGGACACTACGAAAATAAAATCAGATCAACGTCGTCGTGGCACCCCTGTAATATATCAATGCTTTGTCCATTACAGTTGCCAATTTCCATTGTTTCATTAAATTTCGTCATACAGGAGAGACATACTCGTGACGTCCTGACCTCAAAGCGTCCTTTTCATTGAATTCTTTCGTTAAGCGATAATTTCCCTTCTCTGTGATATCTTGGAAGTCATCCGTACGAATCGTAAGTAGAAAATATTGAAAGGGCATATAAATATAAATAATTCGCACATCGCACAGCAAATAACATAATGTACGACGTCCTGCTTATGCGCACGTTAATGTACTCCAACTTTTTCATACTTTCAACGCTATCTTATAACGCTTTGGATGCGCTCAACAGGTTTTCTCGTCTTTGTGGTGGAGGCAATTACGTAACCTCGTCGTCACTGACCCTGAAGCCTATTGAAAAAGGCAAGAAAAAGAGAGAGAGAAATGGAGAAGAGTGGGAGGCTAGATGTAGAACGTAACGAGGCGACAAGCAATGGCATCGCCGCAAAAGAACCAGCAGCAGGAGGAACCGACACTGCTTCGGTACAGCCCACTTATAAGCAGTTGCCCGACGACGACGTTAACTGGCAGATCAGAAATAATAGTACCAGTGAAGAGAAGACGGAGCCAGTTGCAGAAATGGGCAAGCAAAATGGTACAGATACAGAGCTTGAAGATGGGGCTCAGGAACGAATGCTTAAAGATGATGTAAAATTGTCCATTACACCCAGTAAAGATCCATCTGAAGTAAGTTGACCTCATTTTTAATGTATAGGTATATGCACGCATATATATATATATATATTTTTGGCATTTGCAATGGCTGCTTCTTTCATTCTTTAATAGCTTTAAAATGTGAGCAGTCAGCTTATGAGAAGAATTTATATTAAACTATTGTTTAGTATGATAAATTGTAATTAATTCTTTTATTTTGTTCATTGATGTATATATATATATATAATATAATATAAATAATTAATACAAATAATTAATTATATATTACATTAAAATTATAATAATTCATTTAGTACCAAAGCCATTAATTAACAGTATATGGGTAGAATTAACATTATTTTTTATTAATTGCCTGTAATAAAAACTATAATTTATTTATGCATATGAATAAACATAAATTATTAAAACCAAATAACTTAAAGCATAATTCGCATCATCTTTATTGATTACTGTTATCTAAAGTTATTTGAACACCTTCAAGCAAATTAACTTTTTATTTCTGTATTTTAATTGAAAGTATATAACTTGTGTTTTAGAATAAAAGACTGAATATTATTTAAGGAAGACTATTATTTTATATTAAGCATTGATAACATTTTTAACAAACATCTTTTAAATTTATAATTTTTAATTTCATATTAAGTATGCTTTAAAAGAACTTTAGATTCAAATAAGATGTTCATTTATTGAAAAGAGAAAAATTTAATTAATATTGTAAGACTTTTTGGAATTTAATATCTCATTTTTATTGCATTGCGTCATTATTATCTCTCTTATCATTACAAAATATTTTCAAAATAAACACTGTCAACGATACTACCAATGATTAACGTATCCTTTATATTTAAGGTAAAATTTATTCCTGAAAATGGAGATGCTAAAATTGATATCGAAACAGTTAAGCAGTCATTGTCAGGAATGGGCAAAGCTGAATTGATGAAATATGCTAATGATCCATTCTGGATTAAATTAAGATGGTTCCTATTTATTGCATTTTGGGTCCTATGGGCTGCTATGCTCGCTGGAGCTATTGCTATCATTGTAATAGCACCAAAGTGCTCTCCCCCAGAACCCAAAAAATGGTGGGAGGAAAGCCCAATAATTAAATTAGAACCATCCGATACATCTACAAATGATTTAAATGGCTTAGAGTCTTTCCTTGATGCTCTTGAAGATCAACACATAAAAGCAATTTCATTAAATTCAATCTTAAAAGAAGCTGCACCTGGTATGTTATTTAACATTCTAACAAGTCTCTAATACCGTATTCAAATATTGTATATTTTTCACTATATATGATTAGTAATTAACTAATATTATTATCTTTAGTTTATAAATAAATAATAAAATTGAGAGAAATCATCTATTAATAAACTATTATTATTATACATTAAAATATTTGTATTAAATTACTATTCCAGGAAGGATGCATTTATTCAAGTTTTATAGTAATAAAATATTCAACTGATTAATAAATTGGTTGAAACAAAAAAAATTATAATTTCTAAAAATCTTAAAAATTCACTTAATATATTACACTATTCTGCTTTATATAAAATTATAAACGAAATTATAATATCATGCATGAATATAAAGTTTTGAGTGAATATTACAATTTCCTATTTCCTAAAAAAAATGTATATATATATTATGATTTAATTTCATTATGATTGAATTAAACAAGTAATTTAATAATAACGTACTTATCCATTTCAATTTTTAATTGACGTCACTTTTACTCTCATTATTAATGAATAAAATTAAAATTATTAATCTACATTTACAGGCCATACTACAGATTTCAGGGATCTTAATGAAAAAATTGGACTAATGAGTGATTTTCAGAAATTTATGAACGCAGCAAAAAATAAGAATCAACACATAATTTTAGAGTTAGATCCAAATCATTCATCTGACCAACACCCTTGGTTTTTGAAATCTATCAATAAAGAAGAGCCTTATACATCATTCTACGTATGGGCTGATGGAAAAGTAAATGCTGGTAGTAGAACATTGTTACCACCAAATAATTGGGTAGGTAATATTATAAAATATACAATACATAATTTTAAATATTGTATTAATCAAATTTATATACCTTTAGGTTAGTCTAAATGGAGGTTCGGCATGGAGTTTTAATAAGGAGAGAGAGCAATTCTATCTTCATCAATTTAATGAAAGTCAACCTGATCTCAATTATACGAATCCTGCTGTAATTAATGCATTTTCAGTAAGTTTGCAATTAATTTTCCTAATTTATAACATTTTTATTAATCTAAATTACTAACGGCATAACTTTTACACACTAGGATATTCTTAAACATTGGTTAAAATTAGGTGTAAAAGGCTTTAGACTTTCAAATACTCGTTATTTAATTGAAGATCCTAGCTTGGCTAATGATTCTTTAAGCACATCTTACCCTGCTATATCAGGATCATATGAATCACTGATTCATGTTCATACGAGAGACCATGCTCAAAATTTAATTGTCCTAAGGCAATGGCGTGACGTTGTTATGAATTACACAAATGGAGAAGGGTAAATGACTTCTTTTAGCAATTAATAATTGTAATATTCTAATATTTTTATTACTTCATTGCAGATTATTTGCATTAAGCGATGAAGTAGGATATGATCTACAAACATACAACAAACAAAAGACTTTAGTTGATCTTCCTCAAATGGTAAATTTCCTTGCAAATATAGACCCAACTGTCTCAGCTTCAGCTTTAAACAATAGTATTTCAAATGTATTAGCATTTTCTCCTTGGCCGGGTATAGATGTAAGTGTCTTAATCTTTAGAAACAAACTTTAAAACATTTTAAATATTAATTATATTTTTCATTTGACTAATTCATCTGTTTTAGCTAAATGGTAAAGAAGCCAGCTTGAGAAAACGAATACATGCAGAAATAGCTGATAGCTTAATTTTAATGACTATGCTACTGCCTGCTACACCAATATTAAAAATAAATGATACTCTTTCTGCTAAAGAAGTATTTGCCACACTTGCTAATGCTCGTCAAAATTTAGCATTCCTTTATGGTGAAACAAAAACTGATGTTTTAAATAATGGAACTGTATTTGTTTACACGCGGTAAGTAAAAGAATTAATCCTACGATGAGTCGATGAATTTAAATATTTATCTTTTCGTGAATGCTGGAATAATTAATTATTATATTTTTGTGTATAAAACTTTTATATAATATGTATAAGACTTATTAATTATAAATTATACAACACATTAATCAAGAATTCTTTTCATTGATCAATAAATTCTTTCTTGAAATTTATGTATTATTAACAAATTTGAATATCAATTTTGCGTTTGCATAAATTCTAACAGACTAACATAAAATTTATAATTTTCATGCTTCTTATTGAGTTTAGTAAATGGTGAGTTTAAAAACTAACATTTTTAAGTAAATTTTTTTTTAATTTTACTAATTCTATTAAAGAAAAATAAAACAATTTTACTATTATAAATAATTTATGAAATAGGCTTAAAAGTGGAAATCCTGGATATTTAGTAGCCTACAATAGTGCATCGTACAATACAACTATTGACGTAACTACGTTACCAAATTTATCTAAGGAAGTTAATATTATTGCACACAGTCCTAATTACGTCGAAAAATTATCTAATGCTAAGTAAGTCATTATTACATAAAATATATTTTTTAATTTTATTTAATCTAATTAAATTTATTACAGAAAATTAATATCAAATGATATACCGATGTCTCCAAAAAGTACTTTAGTAGTGACTTTTGTCCCAAAAACTTAATTAATTTCCTACAACTATAATTACATCTAAGTAACACTTATATATGTGTATTAATGAAAATCTAATGAAACAATTGGCAATTATATGTGTATTAAAAAATATACAATGAATTAATATTTTTTTCTACTTTATTATTAAACAAGAGTTAAAGTTACATTCATTTACTTTATTTATAACAATTTAAATAAAATTTTTATTTGTATAAAAACATATTGTATTAATTTAATCTAAATACTTTGTACATGTTATATATAAATATTACATATTTTATATATAAATTATATACTTTACAAATAACATTATTCAATATGAAGTTTATGAGGATCAGTGAAACGAGCGGTAAGTATATAAAATAATGCAGGCAAAGGTACTAACGCTAACATTGCAGGATGTATGCTTGAACCTCTTAAAGTAGCAATGGCTATAACACCATATCCATGTAACAACCAATGACCCAAAATTACTACAACACTTTTTATATCTGAGATAGAGCTCAAAAGTAGGGATTTCATAGTCTGAAAAAAATATTAATACACTAAAATAATCTTTTGTATAATATTCAATTTTTATTACCTGATTCAATTTAAATGCAAAATGTGCGGCATTCGAAAGAACTGACAAAATAATTGTAATATATGGAAAGGAGTAATCTAAAAAAAGAGTGGTTTTTAATTATGTATTAGAACTAAATGTTGAAAAATGCATTACATTACATACATATCAGTCCGCTTCCAACAGCATGCAGTAAGGCTAAAATTGGAAAAAAGTAAAGAGCAGCATAAATAGAAAACTTTCCTTTCTTTGGCAGAAACTTCCCTGCTATAAAAGGTCGCACTATTAACATAATTACTATGGCAAAGGCATAAAAAACAAATACCATAGTATATCTGTAATAAACAAAGTATCAAAATAAGCTTTTTCTGATATTGTATGAAAATATAAAAAAATTATTAGCTTAATTTGCATTAATTAATAATTGATATTGTTCAAATTAACAATTGAAGGCAATTAAAATATTATAAATATAGCTTATTTTTCTATTAAAATACTTACAAGGGATACACAGCCTCCTGTGTACAATGCAATGTTGTTTTATAATTAGGACTAGGATTATGAAGCAGTGTATACCAGTCTGAAAGTTTACGAGTTTTACATGAATTAATGCCAAATGATCCAACTGGATCGGTTAACTGCAAGGTAATTAAAGATGCTGCCAATATTTCAAATAAAGCACACAAATGTAATACTATGACTTCTTTTGGAATGCTACGTCTCATTGCAACCATATCGATACAAAACCAATGAAGAACAAGTGCAAGTAATGCCATAAAACCAAGATACAACCAGTCATAAAATGTAGGTACATCTTCACAAGGTACACACGCCGATGACATATTTGTTCTAAATCCTCGGGGACAAGCTCCACACTCTGTCCAATTTCCGTCTGGAAATAATTCTCGTCCACAATACAAACCAGGACATCGAATAAGTATGTTCATTTTGTTCAATTTATCTTTAGTCACCTCAAACACATAGTTTTAAATTTATTTTCAAAGAAGTACTTTGAAATTATCTAAAATAAAAAATTTGTATACATAATATATTTAACCGAATCAAACTCTATCTGCTATTTTAATTTGATTCATACCTACAAATTATGTTATTCAAAATTTTTTGCCTTTATTTCATCAATTTATAGGTTATATTAGTACTTTACTATATCTTACTTACAATAAATTCTACAACTCTAGTGATACAATTAATTTATAAACATATACAATATTATTATTTATTAAAATAAAAAAAAAAACATCTTACAGATTTTAAATGAGCAATCATGAAAATAGTACTCTTCCAATAAACATTGATGATTCATGAAAATAGCGATATACGAATTATCTATTTTGATTCATTTTGATCCAATTGAAAGAGATCACTTTCTTGTATATTCAACAAATTGTAATTATTAAGTAAAAAATGCTCTTGTAAAATCTAACGGAAGATTTTACATTTATCATCACTCTTAAATCATTTTACGTTCTGTCAACAAATTATATTTATACATCTCAATTTCAGTTTTATATGCAATTCAATCTTATTTCAGGAATACGGCGTACCGAACCAGTTTAAAAATGTAATGTGAAGTTTTTGAACAAATTAAATATGATATAAACGATACATAGAATGACATTAAGAAATGAATTTTAATTAGCCTTCAATAATGTTCAATCACTAAAGTTTTCCCATTTCAAATCGACGTACTTAAGTTTATTAAAAAAATATATAAATTATTAAAAATCAGTGAGAAAGAATTGAGTTACTTGTAACTTGTAAATCTTTTAAATATGGAGAAACTGTTATCGTATGTTCAATTAAGTATCAGGAAACGTTTATAAGAGTCCAGTTAATTATATTGATAATTACAAAATTCAAAGCCGTAACAGTGTATATTGAACATACGCCATTGTATGCTATTAGTAATAAAAATTAAATTATTATTAAAAAGTTCATAAGATTTTAAAACTTTGAACTATAAGTTATTTCAATTTTATATAAGCAGTATAACAATTATAATTTTAAAGAAAATTATTTTGTTGATTACAATGAGAAATTATTGTTATGATATTAAACATTACATTTCGTATAATCGTTCAAAACCGAATAAATATGTAATAACAAATACTGTTTATAAGTATCACAATATTAGCTTTGTAACTTATTCATTGATTATATATTTGGATCCTCATAACTGAATTATCAAATTGCTTTGTCTTTAAAAGTTATTTAAAAAAATTTATATTGTCATTCGTAAAAATTATTGGTTTTTTGGAAACATCAAATTATCCATCGCATGAACTTTAATAATTAATTATACGTCTTCATTAATTTAGCTACCAATCTTACCAGAGAATTATAATAATTGACAATTTAGAAAAGTATTATTACAGCAACATTATTATAACAAATAAAATTTATAACGCAAGGCAAGATATTATGTATGATATATGTGGGGGGGGGGGGGATGTGTGGGTGTATAATAATTAAAAATAGCGAAATTCAAATATTATTATTCCGTTCATTGTTCTAATGTTGATTTATAAAAAACAAAATAACAAAATTTTTCCTAAAACAGTAAATTAATATTTGTAGTATAATAACTAATTAATAAGAAACTCTTTCCTTATGACCGTAACTTCGATAAAAATGATAAATTTCTTAATACAATGCTTTTCTTCTCTTGTAACAAATCTTTATATTTTATATACGAAAGGTAAATAAATATTTTAAATAAAATAATGTTTAATATGACAGAGAGAGAGAGAGAGAGAGAGAGAGAGAGAGAGAGAGAGAGAAATCATATAAAATAATAAAATTGGAAAAATACCGAGGTAGCAGAAAACAAAGTATATGTAAACGTAATCAAATGTGCGGAGAAACGTAACATATAGGAACTGGATTTATGACATTTCCTAGATCCATGAAGTAAGAAAAATATAAGAACGACAATACTATTCTGTAATGCAAACAAAAATACAAAGTGTAGTTCTCAATGTTATAATTAAAAATATTACGACGATTTTACATTCGATTTTACGCTCTTCTCATCTTTACCTCTATCTCTTTCTCTCTTTATTTTATATATATATATATATATATATATATATATATATATATATATATATATATATATAGTATTCGAAGCGAATAAAGGCCTTGGCCGTAAAAATTTGCCGTTAAAAGAGACGATATACATTGAATTGCATTTGCCCGTTTGCTTTAAGAATTGAACAGAAAAATTGGCCAGTAATTGATAAAACTTATGACGAAAGTACTAAAATTCCTGATACAAACGGAAAATTCGACGTATGAAATTTAGCATTAAACGCCTTGATATGCACATTCAATTTCACAAATACACCTTTTAGAACGGGTGTTTTTCAATAAATTGAAGGGGGCGACACTACCGAACCCACACAAACGTAAACGAAACATTGCCCTCTATGCGACATATATGCATACGCGACTTAGTCGTACGTTTGGTGCGCGCGCGGGCGCGCGACGTAAGCGCGTACGTGTGTGACTATAGTACGACAGGAGCAAGACAGAGAGAAGTAGCACGAATGAGGAAGAGTAGGACAACGGCGATCTAAGATTCGCAATTACACCCGCTATATTTAAATGTGATATCGCGACAGCGCTAACACCAACATTTGCTTGAAACTTACAGGCAAATGAAGTGACGAGAAGTCGAATCATAGTGTAGTTCTATAAAAACAAAAGAGTAAAGTCTAAGGGTTAATAACTGAAAACTTACACGAGCAAGTGAGTGGAGAGAGATAGATCGAGGGGTGGAAGGGTGGGTGGTTGGGAGGGAGGAAGGAAAAGAAAGAGAGAGAGAGAGAGAGAGAGAGAGAGAGAGAGAGAGAGCGATTGATAGAAGGACGGAAGAAGGGAAGCCGCTCCACCGCCCGCGACTCGTACATTATACTAGGAACACCCGAAAATATACGTACGTAAGTGTGCGTAGGCACACATAACGCAGGGACAACGCGCACACGAAGACAGTATGCATTTCCCGTGCGCGTATGTAGTGTCTTAACCAAGAAGAGTAGAGCCGCGAGTTTAGCCCAGCAGTAGCTGCGCCAGCGTAGCTCAGGAGGTTATACGTACGTCACCTCCTGAAGAAACCGCTCCCGAGGAGGTGTTCCTCGATTGCTGAGGAAATAGAGAGATCGCGCGCGTGTGTGTATTCGTGGTGAGTAAGTGAGTGGGTGGGTGAGTGAGTGAGTGAGTGAGTGAGTGAGTGAGTGAGAAAGGGCGAGGAGGAAGGGAAAGA